AGATTGTACCTTGAATTTTAATACTAGTGTTTTTTAGTTAAAAATAATTGGGTATTTTTCACTATGGAATTCTTAGGTCAAAAGTATATCAGTATGTATGACAGTTGAAACAGTAAAATTAGGAAATAGCCTTTTGAAAAGCTTAAAAAAAATCAGTAAAATTCTAATCTATCACCATCACTTTATTTCCTGAGTTTTAATCTACTTAAAATATAAAATATAAGGTTTTAATGATACTATTTTTTCATTAGAGGGAATAACATCTGGAATAGTGTATCAGACTGCACTGTTTGGGAAAAGTGGCTTCATTAAGAAATACATTAAAAAACTTCATTGGACTTTTAATTGACCACCTGTGTAATGCTTGAATGACAATCTAGTTTCAACCAAAATTTTAGAAAAATGTGTATTATGTCATTGTGTAAATCATCATATTTTAGTTGTCCATGAATGTTACCGGAAGATACAGATCAAATAAATCTCTTAAAATTTTTTTCTAAATAAGACTATTCGTTGGCACATGTAAAACCGTCAAAGAGAATTACAACATATATGAAGAGCTGGACATTGAAATTATTAAAATAAGTAGTCTTTGAACCTCAGCGGGGGTATCCTTGAGTGATAGAGCTTCAAAAATAATTTGAATATTATATTAAACCTGTGTTTATTTAAATTTATATTAATGAGTGGAAATAATTGAACATTTAGAAAATGAGTTGTTTCAAGTAATTTATGCACACAGTTCCATCAGAGATGTCAGTACTATAGCTTTATAAAAATAAGTTATTAAAATTGATTGAAAAATATTACATATAATAGAAATACAAAACTAAAAATGTATTTAAAAGTAGAAGCAACTACAAAAATAAGGGACGTTTTACCATTTGACACAAAGCAAAAATTAATAAAAGTAAGCTAATTAACATTGCAATAAACTTTGTGACATAGTAATAGAAATATTGGCTATCTGAAATTTTCAGAAGTTACATGAGGGCAACGTAGATTTTGAATTACTACTCGTAAGCAGAGATAAGATTTACTGATTATCCTTAATGTGAATTATCGTGCACTGCTTATTTGAGATACATCTCTTGCTTATTATCAGTTTATTGGGAAGCTCTTGAAAATTTCATTGTGGTTCCCTTTGTCCATTGTTGGCGCCAAATGCTGTATCATATAGCTAGTAATAGATATATGGAGTAAACATGTATAGTAACGTTTTTTAAAATACTTTAGAAATTGTTTTCATATGATTGGTGCTAAAGTTTGTATCACTTGGTAAGCATTTAGCTGTTCTAAGAAATAATATAGAAATAAGTATAATTTTGGGGTTTAAAATTATTCACAACTCTTATTAAATATTTAAAACATTGCCCCTGCTATTTCCTATTTTGAGTATAGTATCAGAATTTCATTTCATGTTGTTGTTGCATTTGACACAAAGCAAAATGCCAGCATATAAAAATTCAGATTTGAAGATCCTGACCTATCTTGATGACCAGTACTTAGTGTGTGATTTTCTTTTTTTAATCTTTTAACATAATTGAAAAGAATTTAGTTGTATAAAAGATTTCCAGAGCAACTGACTTTGAAGTTTATTACTATACTTTTCAGGCTTCAGGTTTTTTACGATTACTATAACTTTTAACACTTTTACATTTCTGTTCCTAAAACCATAATTGGAGAATACTGGTTCATTGGTTTAGAAAACTGCAGTAGCTGAGAACCCAGTAAACCTTCATTAACTTGCTAGTAAGTAGCAATTATTAAGTGCTTTCTTTCAGTGAAACAGATAATTGTTTAAGAAGTGATACTTTAGATGAACTTGAATGTGGTGTATTTCTGAAAAATAAATGTGAAGTGTCTTAAGAGACGAAGTATGTTTTTCTTTAATGGTCCGAAGATCATTATCTCATCATTTTTGTTGCTTCTTATTCTATTAAGTGACAAAGAAAAAATACTTACCTTGACTAGTCCCTCTTTTCTGGAAATTTTTGGTCTGCTGCCTTTGAGCTTGGGGAGGTGGTTTTTCTGTTTTTTCCCCCCCAGGAAATATGTTTATCTTTAAATTTTATACACATTAAATACCATTTATCATGGTTTAGGCCTTCCCTATGATAGTGGTAAGCATCCAAATGTTTTGTGATTTATCGTAAGTACCATATGATTTGGGAAAATAATTCTAGTCTCTAAAATATGAGACAACTATTAACAAAACATTTTTGTTTTAGGTTTGGATTTTCTTTCCCTTATTCCAGTTGATCCCCAGGTATGTATCCTGAATTTAAGCAACTAATTTGTATTTGATTGTTGGTTTTGTCATACTAACTACAAGTGACCAGTTGCATAAAATCAGGACAGGCAGCTCTGAAAAATAGGAAGTATGTACTATATACGTTTTTTCACAATTTTATTTGAGGAATAAATTTGATGTTTTTTAATTTATAATTTTTCTATAATACCTAAATTTTAAAAAACAGTGAGTTGCTCTTTCTTACAAGCAGTTGAATGATTACAATGTGTAGAAGCCATGTTTGATGATTGGAGGCTAAATTTTTATTTTATATGTAGAAACAGCAGCAGCCAAAGACTTGACTCAATAGCTTATTTCTCCATTGTCTGAAAAACAGTTAAGTTCATACAATGAGAGTGTGAACATTTAATTTGAAAACTTGGCAGTAAGCAAGTGTTCCATTATTTCGGAGTAGAGCAGAGACAGCAGAGGAAAAGTGAAATCGCACATGAAACTTCGAGAGCAGGTGTGACGCATAGGAATGGAGGAAGAATAGGAACTGCTTTCAAGGACTGCTCAGAACCAGCTAAAGTCTAGTGTGGGTCTTCTGTTTCAGGATTCTATCTGATCATACAAACAGCATGGGAAATTTAGGCCTAAGATAATATATAAACTGAGGAATTTCTCGTCATTCTGAGTTGACCTTATATTTGCAGATTATAGAATAAAGGTATATAATTTCCTGGGAAGTGAATTCTTAAGACTTAAAAGATTAACAGTTTTATGTAAAGTGCTTTCTAAAAATCTTGGAACTTAAGGGTTTATTTTATAGTTGTATTTGGTATGCTTATTGGCATAGTGATTTTTTTCTTTCATTTTTTAGTTTGGCCATAGTAGGGAGTTAACCCAGGACATTTTAACACTGAGCTCAGTGCCTAGCTCTCTTTAAAATTTTTTTGAGACAAGGTCTCACTAAGTTGCCCAGGGTGGCCACTTTTGCTTTCCTCCTGCTTCAGCCTCCGGAGTAGCTTGGATTATAGGCATGTGTTAGCACATCTGGGGGATGATTTATTTGCTAAGTCAGTAGGAGGATAAAGTCGTACATTTTGTTTACCAAAGCATTTTTAGGTTTTCCTACTCAACTTCTGTATTGCTGCTTATTTTCTAGTACCTTTGTGTAGCTATATACATATGAGACATGGTTAAAAGTAAAATGGCTGCAACACGAGTAGAAGAATTTAAGGCATGGAGTCCATTGATAGCAAGACTGCTTACACCCCTTTATAAATAAAGAGAGGTATTGACCTTTTTTTGTTTTACTACAAGGCAGTCAAAAATAGCCTGAAAATAACAAGAATAAAATGTGTAATTTTCTGGACTTTTCCTCAGTTTTTTCCCTCAGTTCTAGTAAAATTGGTGTGCTAGACAGGTTAGAAATTGATTGGATTTTAGACAAGATTCTTAAAATCATTTATCTTTTATAATATTCCTGCCAGCTTGAACCACTGATGGTACATGCGTGACTGTCATGAACATGTTTAAAGCTTCATTCTCCTTTAAATCTGTTTACATGTGGCATTCATTTTATTGATGAAACCAAGACTTAACCACTAAAACATTAACTTACTCTGTTGAAAGGCAGCCTAAATTTTGGTTGTTGCTTGAGGCTGTTGTTTCTGTTTTATTTATGGGCCTTGAAAATTATGTTCTCTAAACAACTTTGTTTTTTTCATACAGTATTTATTTGTAAGGTATTCTTTGGAAGGATAAGCAAAATGATACATAAATGGATCATACAAATGATATATTTGCTGATCTTTTATATAGTCTCAAGACAAACATTTCATGCAGTGTATTACTATACATTATTTATTTTGCTAGTTATAGTTTCTTACATAACATATTCCTTGGTGATATGTGCAATGTGTTTAGCCATTGTCGTCATGCCTCTAGGTCATTATTAGGATATTATACTCAAGTTTATATTTGTATGGGAATCAGTAACTAATATGGCAGTAACACTTGGGGAGGGTTATCAGGCGTCAGAAAGAAGATTGGATCTCTTCAAGTATTGTGTAGATGTGTACAAAAGAGTGCAATACTATCGTTCAGCTGGTCATTCTTACTATTTATAAAGGGTCTGTTCGATACTAAGTTTGGGGGAATTGTTGAATTTTAAATTAGCATTTTTATATAATACTATGTAAGTACTTCTTGTGCTTTTATAGTGTAATTTAAGTCATCTAAACTCATAAAGCAATTTATTTTTGAGAGTAAGTATGAGACATTGTGGGGCCCATACTTTAAATGGTTTCACTTATTGTTGACATTAGTACTTCTGTATATAATCAATAAGCGTTCATGTTTTGAAAGAGTAAAAACTGCTGCATTCACTAGAGAATGTAAAATAGCTAAATTCATGTCATTTTCCAACCAAAAGTGAGAAATTTTTGGATATTTTTAAATCTCAGGAGGTTTTAAATATGTAGCTATCATTTGTGCATATCTAACAATTTCTAGTCTCTCTATTTAAAACCAATGTAGCCTCTTCCTCATCGGCATCATTGTTTGTTTCAAGCAGTACTGTCCTCCTATGTTTTTGGATAGTCTCACCTCACCCTTAACAGCAAGCAGTACGTCTGTCACCACCACCAGCCCCCATGAAAGCAGTACTCATGTTAGTTCATCCAGAAGCAGGAGTGAGACAGGGGTCATAACCAGCAGTGGAAGTAGCATTCCTGACATCATCTCATTGGACTAAAGAAGGAGGCACTTGATTCTGGGAATCATTCATCAAAACTGTTTTTTCTTGGATCTCTGATCCATTGAAGCTTTTTTGTTTTTTGTTTTTTTCAATTTGATATTTATTGAAACATCAGATGGATTCTTTCACTTTCTGAGAGATGAACATATATGACAGCAACAAGAACCCAATGACAGGCAAGGACTTCTTACAAATGCCCTGCGCTTGAGAATCAGATACTTTCAGCCATTAACAGTGTCTTGAGCAGTGGATTCCAATTTCATGTGTTACTGGACGGATTCTACAAATTATTTTAAAATTTTTTGTTATATAATAAACAGCAATAAAAATCCTGTAAATACGTAATTTTTTTTTAATTAGAAAAAGATGTAATCATTGATTCTAAAGTGACAGCAAGTTCTGTTTAACTCAGTGTAAAGGAGGAAGTATATGGAAAGAAGTTGTGTTTTGTGAATGAATCCTTTCCATGGAGATTTGTTCTGCTTTATTAAGGTAATGAAGTTTCAATCAGTGATCAGAGGTTGGGTTCCACTCTAGTGGGACTGCAGGTCTACTTTTCTAAATGAGTCCATCAAGGAAAAATGGCTTCTGTGTTGTTAATTTCCCCCTGGTTGTCATGTATATTTTGAATACTGTGTGCTAATGAATACTGAGTGAAGTTCTGAGCTTTGGCTGCTCTTTTTTATTGATGTTTAAGAACACTATGCAGATTCTGTCCTGATGACGTTATTTTTTGTTAACTGTACATTCTCATTCTAGAGTTTTCTATACTTTTGAGGCTTGCCTTCTTAGGAAAGAAACTGTCTCCAGCCTTTGAGGTAAGGTGCAGTTGGAAAGTTTGTTAGATTTTTGTGTGTGTGTGATGTCCAAAAGTATTGATACTTGAAGGCAGTAGCAGAACAGATTTATGAATATGGTTAATAACAATACTTTGTAAGAACTTAAATTGCACCTTTATTTTTTTTAAATTTATTTTATTTATTTTTATTTTTTGGGAGGCCCCTCAGGATGCCTTCAGGGCAGATGTGGTTTGGCTTGAGGATGAGGGGATCGAACCACAGCATCCTGAGCCTGACTGCTTTGTTTCAGCAGGCACTTAAACACCTGAGCTAATGGGCAGGCCCCAAGCACTAAAATAATTATATTATTTTATAGGATAATAAACACATTTTTCTTGAAACATTACACATTTTAGTGGCACTGACAGAAACTGCATTTTAGGTCTCATCATATTACTGACCAATGTAGTTTTGTTTCAGCATTGAGTTTCAAATTTTAGGGAAAAGACAACAGCATGAGGATAGCATCGGATAGCATCAAACGTGAGGATAGCATCAGATTTCTTCTACCTTTTTGAAAAGGAAATTTTTTGGGGAGGGAGCTGAAGCCCACCTACTTTATGTCTCCTGTGCCGAAACATTTCATTCTAGTGGTTCTACCAGAGGCAATCTGAAAATCATTCCTGGTGCATTTGATTGTAAGTTGATTAGAAAACTTGAGTTTTACTTGTAAGGAGGCATTTTCATCCAGGTTTTGTAGTTTGCTTCGTTTGGCTTCCTACATCATTTTGAGTACTCAAGGATTTATTATTTTCCTGATGTTTAGCTTTCTTTCCCAAAGCTATATCCACTGTGAAACAAAAGCATTCTTTTCATGGCTAATGTGATTTCTCTAGATGACCTGCTTACATGAGAACTCTAAACTTCCTGTACTTCAAAATAGATGTAACTTGAGGGAGCTGCCTTCTTGTCTTTGGTGTTTTTGTACCTCCTCATGGCCTTTGTGCCCTGTTAATGCTGTTTTAATGTATAGTTATACACATTCTTTTGGCTACAACATACCCTATTTAGTGTAGTGTCCATTAAGGAGTTCCACCTATTGAAGACATAAAAATACAAAACCAACCCTGATACTTCCACAGAAGTTGAAGTAGTGTCACCAGTTTTAATTTCTTAGCCACTAGATTAGGGTCCAGGTTAGATTCTTATCCAGAGATGAAATTTCTTTCTGCTAGAAAGAAATGTGCTCTAAGTACAGATATAGTCTGTTAACTCTATAATCAGAAAAAGTAATGTTATTTGTGCAGTATAATTTGTTAATAAGAAATAAATCATATTTCTAACTGTTTTGTTACATTTTACATTCTCAGAGCCTCACCCAATTTATTTTATTATATTTTAGTTTTATGTAGTTGGTACAGGGTCTCACTGTGCAGCTTGGACTCATAGTGGTCCTCCTGTCTCAACCTCCCCCCCCTCCCCCCGGCACTAGGATTACAAGTGTGTACCACCATACCTGGTCTTGGTGGCTGGCTCAGTGTGCGCAGGGCTGGTATGGTATGTGGTGCCGGGGTATTAAACCCGGGTCCTTGTGCTTGCCTAGGCAGGCTCTTAGACTGCTGAGCTATCTCCACAGGCTCCCAATTTAATTAACATTTTATAAAGTAAGTGAGAACATTAATAGAAATTATTTCTTTTTTAGAACTGGTAACCTCCGTGCTTTCATAGTTGTGATGCGTTGTCGCTATATGAGTAGTTTTAGTATTCAGTTTTGGTGCTGTGCTCTTAAGTTACATATAAATGCTTATTTTATCTCAGGCAACAAACATTTAAAACTTGTATGTTTTTATCTTAAAATTGGGGCTTAATTTTTGTAGGTATATTTGAAAATGAGTACTTTTTCTTCTCGTCATGCCCTGCATCATAATTATGATTTTTAAGCCAATCTCTTTTGTTTAATATGGTTATTGTAATTACTTATACAAAGATTCTAACTTTTTAGGGAGTGCATTTTGCTAGTCCAGATTTCTTCTTATCCAAATACAGTAGACTAAAGGGGTCAGTCATTTTAGCTGTTACTGAGCTGTCAACCAGCAAGAAACCAGTTGTTACTTTTATTGACACTTAGATAACCTACATTTTTATCTTGATTCATGTAGAAGTTTGAAGAGCACTTCTTTGATAACTTCTGGCAGTGTAATTGGCGTTGAATATAATTTCACTTCTAAGGCTTGCTTATACTCAATTAGCTTTTTGATCTATAAGTGAACAGCTTTAGGATTTAATTTTTCATTTCTGCGAAGAAATTGTAAATACTTGACATTTGCCCTAGGATAATTCTAAAGGTCAGATGAAACAGTTGAGGTAAATCTGGGTTATGTGGCATTTATCTGATGCTTATTCCAAGGAAGGTAGAATGAAAATACAAAGTGTAGGTAAAGGATAGCACCAAAGTGTAATTTAGTTGATCTATCTCTTAGTATAAAGCAAGTTTCCTTTATTATAGTACTAAGGAATTTAAAGAAAGCTAAGATGTTGGGTTGTAGGTGAAGTGGTATCAGACAAATCATTTTGATTTTGATATACCCTTAGGACAGACCTCGACACTCAGTTTAGTAGCCTAAATGCCTTTCTTCTACCAACAAAATATTAGTTGCATTTGTATTCTAAGTTAGTGTTTACAAAACATTCATTTAGTTCTCTGGCCTTTCTTTAGTCAGCAATTCATTAAAGAAGAGTAAACCTTTTATTCCTGCAGCTTTTTCTCCATTTCTGTGTAGTGTCATGAGAAATTGTTTCCTCACTCAATACCTTACTTAAGCTTGAGTGTGACGTTGGAGTTAGTGGCACCATTCCATATGTTTTGAATGCTTGTTATCATTTTAATGTGTGATTGGTGGTTCAGTTGGATACAGCATCTTTTCTGTTACAGTGCTACATGGTATTGGTGAAAATTGTGGGAAAGAATTTAAGAATTTCTCCACTTTAATCTGGCCCTACTAAATAAAAGAGTGGTTTGTACCCCTGCCCTCTTTTTTGGTTAGGAACCATACTAAGAAACAAATAAAGCTGTACAAAAACGTTTGCCCCACTCTTTAATACTGGCCTGGTGAATGGTTTTTTTCTGTTAATGTCAATAGGACATGCATACTGTGGAAATTTTAGACAAAACAGAAAGTTATAGAAAATTTTTATCATGAGGTGAAAAGAACCTACCTCACTTGGTATTTTTCCATATTTCTTGCCGTACTGTCTCTCTGCTACTAGTGCATATGTTTTTCACAGATTTATTCATTCTCAAAGAATTTATACTTTGGTTTTCCCCTCATTCTACCAGCATCGTTTCATATGGTTAAAACTGTCAGCCACTACTAACTACATAATCATTGTATGGAATCTTGCATGATACCACTATACCAGCAGCACTGTTCATAATCATTTTATGGATGTGCCATGATTCATATCTTTCCTATTGGATGTTTTAGATTTAATCTCATGTTATCATGACTGCATAATTTATTTTCCTTATGATGAATTCCTGTAGAGCTGATTTGTAGGTCAAGGGCGTGAACATTTTTGTAGTTCTTGATTCATACCAATTTTTAAAGTAATTATGGTTATTTATTCCCCACCAAGTGGTATGAGAAAGGGCTATTTAGCTGTATTTTTTTAGAACTTTTATCTCTATATAGGCAACTACACTAATATCTTGTGCCCTTTTGTTACTGGTCAGTTGGGCTGAGAAGATAATTAGCAAATAGATACTTCTAGGCTTTCTCAGATTTTAAGTATTAGTGTTTCTCTCATCTGTAGGGGATGGGTTCTCGGACTGCCTCCTCCAGTATCAGAATCCACAGATGCTTGTCTCTTGCATAGTGGCATAGTATTTGCGTGTAGCATATACAGTTCACCCATATACTTTAAATCATTTCTAGATTTTTTAAAATCTTTTTTTTATGTGGTACAGGGTCTCTCTACGCAGCCCAGACTTATAGTGATCCTCCTGTTTTCCACTTCCCCAGTGCTGGGATTATAGCTATGTACCAGCACACCTGGTTCCAGTGGCCAGCAAGGCACACCCAGGTTTGCAGAGCTGGCACAATATGGTGTGCCATACAGTGGATCAAACCCAGGTTCTTGTGTTTGCCAGGCCGACATTTAGACCACTGAGCTATCTCCCCAGCCCCATTTCTAGATTATTTGTACCTAATACAATGTAAATGTTTGTAAATAGTTATATTGTTTAAGGAATAATGACAGTCTACATGCTCAATACAGATGGAATTTTTTCTGAATATTGTCACCCTGCAGCTGGCTCTACAGATGCAGAACTCCTGGCTTTCAAAGGTTGACTATATTTACTGACAGGCTCCAGAAGTATGTACATATGGATAGCCAACAGATTTTACTTGCACTGGGTAGTAAATACTACTTAGATTACATTTTGGGGGTTTTTGATTTTTATTTTTTTTTAACCATTTGTGCCTAGGGCCAGCCCTTAGTGTACAGTTCCCTTTTTCCTCTTGTAGGCTCCATTTTGGCCTTTCTGAGTTCCCTAAAACCAGCAGAATCTGCTGAGGCAAAGGGAGTCCATCCCATACTGAAAAAGTGGTAAGGCTAAAATACAAACAGCAGACCCATCTCTGCCTGTTTCGCTTTGAATTACTTTATTTGCCAATCAGATTTGAACTCTTAGTGTTTTAAGGACACCATGGGGAAATAAAACAGATTCCTACTTTGAGGAGTATTTTTTTTTTTTTTTTTTTGATTGGCATAGTACATTTTTTACTTCCACACTTTTTGTTTCTGAATAGCTTTTAAAGCTTATTCTGTGTTCATAAGGTGTAACTCTTAAGTAAAAAGCGTTGTTCTAAAATAGACTATTCCTCAGTGTGTAGTCCTCAGTGGCACTTCTGTTTACTAACTAAATTTGCTTTACGATTTTTGGGAAGATTGTGTGAGAAGCATCACTGGTCATGTTTGAAAGCTTAATGGGAGCAAAATTTTGCTAAACATTTGCTCCAGGTTGAGTTGTTTACAAACAGTAGTGTTCATGAACTGAGGTATTACTGTATTTGTAAGTATGTAAGTTAAAGTAGTTAGGAAGGGTAGTTTCAGGCTTCAGAGAGCTTATTATGTTTTTAAAAATCAGTCATACTGAAGTAACAGACATTCTGCCAAGAACTTTATGAGGGATCCCTTCCAGTAGCCTTTCAAAGGAAAGTAGTAT